CCCCAAAACCCCAAAACCCCAAAACCCCAAAACCCCAAATGTGACTAAAAAAATTGAATTTAGATAAAACTTAAATAGTAATGGAGTCACAACAGAATTTATTAATTGAGACTGATCAGCTTGCTGAGCTCATTGAAAGCAGCCCAGACAACCTCAAACTTGTTTGTGGCACCTGGAACTTAGGTCCAGATGCCAAAGATCCTAAAGAGCAATTCAACGAAGCTCACATTCAGGGTAGTGTCTATTTTAGCCATGCTGAGGTTGCTGATACATCATCAGGATTTCTCGCCACTTGGCCATCAACTGAGTTCTTCATCAGTGAGATGAAGAGGCTTGGGATCAAGAAAGATCACACCATTGTTGTCTACGACCATGAAAATATCTTTTCTGTATGTAGACCAGCATTCATGTTAAGAGCATTCGGAGCAAAAGACGTACGTGTTCTGAATGGCTGTCTTAAAAAGTGGATCGACGAAGAGAGAAAAGTAGCAACTGGGTATCCACAAGATGTAAATGATACATCAGACGAAGGATATGACTATGAGCTCCACCAAGATTCAGTCACTTTTTACGACTCTACATTTGAGAAGGTAGCTGCTGTTGAGAGTAAGTCAAAGATATGTCAAATCTAATATTGTCTAGAAGGCGAAACTGATGAATTTGAATTCATCGATGTGAGAAATATAGACAACTTCGATAAAGGACACCCTCACGGCTTCAAGAACTCATTCTGAATGAAATATCTAACTGAGGACAGATCAACTTTCAAGCCTAAGGAAGAAATATCTAAGCAAATGGAAGATGATGGAGTTGATGGTAGCAAGCACATCATATTTTCTTGTGGAGCAGGAGTCACAGCTTGTATCAATGAGTTAGCAGCAAAAATAGCTGGTGTTGAAAAGACATCCATCTATGACGGATCTTTCCAAGAATACTCCACAAAAGGGAAACCAGATTATCTCTAGAATAGGGTTATTAAATAAAAGAAGTTTCTCAAATAGGTACTCTTGTTGTGGGGTTTTGGGGTTTTGGGGTTTTGGGGTTTTGGGGTTTTGGGG